AGAAAACTCATCTAAATTCATATTAAAAAGAAATCTGTTTGTCTTACTTATTTTAGAAAGGTATTTAAATGTTTTTCGTATTCGAAAGTTCTTCAAATATATTTTTACGATCAATATATTTAATAAATATATATAAAGAAACAATATGTTGCTTCCTTATCGTTTACTGTTACGAAGCGGTTTCCCAGAGAGCACCTAGAGGACCGATCATTGAGAAATGGATCCAACTTTGTTTTAGTTATTAAAGGATAGTTTAAAGTTTTGGCTATCGAATAGCAAAAACCGCAAGTTTCTATCGTCTTTCGTTCTTGAGTTATTCAGAAACCACTGACCGGCATATGAAAATCCATCAGTGGAAAACCTGTTAACGATTCCCTCGGTGAAACTCGCACATAGAACCGTATTAAACAACATCGAAGACTCCGAAATAATGATGTTATCAAAATATGAATACGTACAGCGAAATATAATGACATTAAGTTGACTGATAAATACATCAGAAGTCTGCACTTTCTAAAAGAAGTTTATTGAGTGCGACGTCCCATAGGAGGAGAGGATTGGACTACTCATGAGCATCTCGCATACCAAATGGGAAAATTTCTTTTTTGAGAATCGTCTCACCCCATGCGATGATGAGACAACTCATGAAATGTATCTACTTGTTTAACGTTAAAAATATGCACGATCAGAGTTCGGCTCCATCATGACAAGCAAGTTTTGAAATCGAAGATGTTCCAACGTTATTACAGAAGAACTATATCGTTTACAATTGAATTATTCTAAATTTAGTCTTATTTTGCGTCTGCCATCGATTAATCAAGTCTGAGAGTGTTTTAGTGTGTATACATACGTGAAATTCAATGTGCTCATCAATCCAGAATTGTACTTTGAATGATGCACAAGTTTATTCATTGACAAAAGAATTTAATATTTTACCATCATCGTCATTGACTGCCTATGATTGGTCAATTGATGGTTGTTATTATTTACATGGTATTCAAACAGTTCGAGCTAATCTTTTGTTAACTGATGTTGATTATAATCAAGCAATTGATCTTTGTCGACAACATTGTCAAATAAAACCAGCAGTGGAGTTATATAAGCTTTTTTCATATTTTATTTCACGTAAAAAATCATGTTATTGTCTACCAGTTTTTTTAGGACGAAATATAACAAGAATAGGTCTTCGAAAACCACTCATGCATTGTTCATTTCTTCCATATATATACAATGCGTATCTTATATCATCAACTAGTCCGTCGAATAATTATGAGAACTTATTTTGTGAAATAAATTCAGATACTGTAATTAAAATTGATGTTCAACTTTATTGTTCATCAACTAATACAGTATCGTTTATGTACGATCGTTTTCTTCATATGTGTTTCAAAGTAGTATCACTAGATACACGAAATACCTATTCAACATACGCTGATCAAGCTTGTTCACCTATCCAAATAAACACACGTGAACAATGGAATTATTTGGTCACATCTTCTTTTTTATCGCAAACACCTACATACATTTGGATCTTACCTAATTCAACTTATATATTCGATGATCTATTCAAATTACAAAATACATATCAAACAAATGTGACTTTAACATCAAGCGATCTTTGCATTGTTGTTGTTGTTAGCCAGACAAGTTCAAACAAACTGACATCTGTAGATCTTCTTCCATGTACCAGAGCTGGTTTGTCTAGTAATGTACTGTGTGCACAAAAAGCATTTGAAATAACCGTTGAAAATCAAGATGAGTTTACAATGACGTATGTATATGATTTTATTCGAAAAATACCCGAACATTCAATCAGATAATAGCAGTTGTGTAGATTTTTTGATATATTTATGAGAGTCATTTAATATGTATCAGACTCGAAATACCATCACTTTGGAAGCCGGTCATTAGATTCAAACTGAGGATCGGTCAGATTTTTTTTTCATCACTCTCTAGAGCATCTGAACTATTATTACAATGAAAATAACATGAGTGATTATGACAAACATTTTTCTGTTCTATCAAGAATTTTAATTCAAAATGTCGTTTAGGAATAATGAAGGTCTTTTGGAAAGTTATAAGTTCGGTCAAATAATTCTTAGTTATATTGCATGAGATCAAAATTAGAGATGTAACCGGTACCGGCAACCGGCCGGTCAGGAATTTCTGATCGGCCGACCGAAAGAAAATTAATTTGACCGGTCGGTCAAGAAAAAAAATGTTTTTTGGCTAAAAAATGAGTACTTTGTCGAAAACGAATTTGCTGAGCTAAGTAAAACAAAGCTTTTCATATTTCAGATTAAGAAATTCAGTTTGGTTTTCTCATTTTTGTCAACAGTCTTCGAGAACAGGACTGTTAATTTCTACCACGTGAATCCCAAGCAAACATCGCCTATGGGAAAATCTAGATACATTTCATCTGTAGTCGGGCGATACACGACTAGTTGCCATCTAGATTACTAGTTGGAAAAGGGACTTTTAACCAGATGCGTCTGCGTGTGTAACTAGCAATAGTTAAATCGATCGATTATCGGGCGATAAATCGATAGTTGCAACTAGAAGAAATCTAGCAATCAGCCGATTAGTAGATTTCCAGTGTTGTTATCCAATAGGTGCAATCGACTAAAATCTAGTAATCTAGATGAATCGGGCGATACTAGATTTTTTTTTGACATTTGGAATATTCCATTCGTTTTCTTTCTTTTTTAATGTTTGTTGCACTATTATCGCCGCTAAAATACAAGGCTGGTCGCTATTTCCGGAGTAACTCAAGAGGAATAAAAGATAGAGACTTGCGGGTTTCATCATTTGCTAGTCAAGATCTGAGGCTATGTTTTTAAAAGCAAAAACGAGTTGAGAAAAATTTCAAAGATCGTTTTATCAGGAGATCTGTGAAAAACTAGTTCGGTTCTCCAAAATCTGACATAGAAATCTATGGATTTATTTTCATACATATATAGTCCGAAGTGTCTTCTACAAAACTGAATCTAAGAGACATCTTGGAAATTCATGGTAAGGGAGCTATGGACGTTTTTTCAGAAGCCTTAGCACTCCTCTGTCGTTCGCACTTTTACACTTACACACTAGGAAAATATATGACCGGCCAACAGGCTGACCCGGCCCGGAAAATATATAACCGGCCGACCGGTCGGCCCGGTCAGAAATTTTTCGATCGGTTGAGAAAATCTTGACCAGTTACATCTATGATGAAAATTTTGAAACATTTTGAAAACAAGGTATTTGATTTTTCAAGGTATTTGAATTTTCTTAATATTAAGTTTATGTAAAATTATTCATCTTTTTCTAACGGAAATTTCGCTAAGGAGGAGCGGTTGATCTTATCCAAAAAAAAAATATTTCCAACGAAAATAATGTCACAAAACTTCAGGATTAAAGCAAAACGAATGAAAAATACTTTACTTCCGGTGTCCTGCATGGGGTCCGGTCTTCAGTTCCTTTTTTCAAGTTGCTCACTATTTTTTATACAAATTATTTGTTTTTATTTCCATCACTAAGAATCAGAGATTCTTAGTACATAATCCTTTTTTATCTATAGGAACAATGAACAGCAGCTTTCAGTCGCCGATGATTTCACTTGTCCGTCTGAATTCGTACTTTTCAATGGTATGTGTTATTTTGTTCATACATCATTTGTTGATAATATTCAAGATGGTGAACATATATGTCATACTCAGTATTCGAATAGTAATCTTGTTAAGTTCGATTCACACGAATGGGGTAATGTCAATGCGACACAATTTCTCGGACGATCATTAGATGATACTCTTCTAGAATTTTTCTATTATCAACTTGAGAAAACACTTACACTTGAGTCAACTAATAATAACAATAATAATAATAATAATAATACGAATAAAAAACATTGGCTTCGATTACTTATCGGAGATAAAATGCAAACTAACGAATGCGTTCTGCGTTATTTTAATCGATCATTCGGTGCATTTACTTTTTTTCGTTCATGTAATGAAAGTGGTTACCCTGTTTGTCAAAGTAAAACAATTCGAAGGGAAATTCCAAAACCAATACTGGTCAGTGAAACTATTAATAACATAAGTCAAACTAAAAATGATTCACAAGTTGATTTCAATACCGAACCATTTATCACTACTTCAGCGACTGAGACAATCTTACCGGTCTCGTCAAACTATACAGACTTGATTATCTCATCGAACGAAACGATCTTGTCACAGCTCAAAAGTCCACATTCGAGCCCTCTTCGTCTTATCACCATTACCGGTGCATTGTTAGCGCTTATTATATTCATTGTAGGAAGCATTTTTCTTGGTCGCTATCTTCGACGAAGTCGTGGATCGTATTCAACACGTAGTAGTATAGTAGGTTTATCTCGTCGAACAAAGCATTCATCAACAACACGACCATCAAGTGATATTCCGAATACGCCAGCTGTTCTTTATGCGCGACTTCAATCGTCACCACCACCAACCGATACCGATATGTCAGTTCCTTTTGACAATAAGTTATTGATTGACGGCAGAGTTGAACTTCTACCTATTTCTACAAATCAAACCAGAAATATTCAAAATAGCAAAATAGAAGAAGAAGAACCATTATATGCAACACTTAAAGAGCATGATGAGAAGTGACATCTGTCAAAAACGAATAATCCAATTCGTTATCACAGCTTCCGTTCATTTATCGCCTTTCAGCTACTTAAATCGCATGGTCTTCTTTTTCTTTTATAAATATAAAAACATATAATCATTTATTTTTCTTGGTTTAAACATAAAACAGTAAATGACTATTTTTCAGATGACTCTTTCATTAAAAACTGATCGACGGGAGAGTGTAGGCACAATTGCCTACACTCTGTTATCATATTAAATTAAGGGTGGTCCATGGTTGTGTTGTTTCGCGAATTGTGGGCGCTGTGATTGTTGTATGGTTAAATCTGTTGTTGCTGTAGACTGTGATGATATCGATGATTGTGTAGATGGTGTCGTCAGTTCTTTTGTTGTTGTGGTCAATTCTGTTGTTACGAGAATAGTAGTCGCTGTTACCATTGTGGTTGTGTGTTTTTTTCTTTATGGCTTTGAGTGCGGATGAGCTTGGCATATTACTTCCTTTTCCTTTTGTTCCTGCTCCAGATCCTAGACCTCTAGAAGTTGATGTTCTCGTCATGGCGTTAAGGGTTTGGGATGCCTTGATACTATTGATAGTAGTAATCTTGGAACTCATCATTTTAGTGATTTAAGAGGCTTCCTATGTTTTTGATCCTGTAAGTGTAACACGTCCGGATTGCATCGTACACATATTTGTTCTAATACCATCCTCACATGTAATTCTCATACTAATAATCATGTTATCATGTTTCTCAAACGAAGAGTGATTTTTGACTTTAAGTAATAGTAGTCCTTGACTGCATTTGCTTCTTTGTCAAATAGATCTTTTATGATATTCCGATTCTCTCCAAAAGGCTTTTACAAAATTTCTTCAGTATATACATACTTACATTGATTCTGAAACCTGTTTAACTAATAAAAAAGGAATTCAGACGAGACTGATCGATATATTTTCATCGTGCGAAAAATTTTCCGACACCAATCCTGTTGTTATTTTTTAAAAATTTATACTCAAGTACATACTCAAGTAAAACTCTTTTGTACTTAGACTCATACTCGTGCCTGCCACTAAATACTCGTACTCACACTCGAAAAAGTGTGTATTCGTTCACCTCTGACCCACAGGGTGCTTTCACACAGGTCCGCCCACTTTATACAAAGCATCTTGCCGCGAACATTTCAGTTTGCCCATCGTGCAGAGTATCAAAAATAATCTAAAGGTCTCCCTTACACTTTTTTAAAAAAACGTGTGGAGAGTGGTTTTCTGGACACCTCACGTTTTTGGTGAGGGTGAAACCGAAGTCGGTGAAAATGAACCAAACATTGCATAATTATATATCAAATTGTAGCTCTTGACGAGTTGATTCTAATGGTGAAATAATTCGGTCTCGATCTAACTTTACATTCGAGTGGTACTCAATTTACTTG